CTAGCCAAAAGGTCACAAGAAAAGGTGTTCAATCATGCGAGTATCTAGTACAATTCATGATTCTCACTCAAAAACCTACAAGAATTTGTGAGGATTATTGAACTTTTATCAAAGAATCATCCCTCACCCTGAACGACCGCAACCATTAAAGAACCTACTTCGTGTTATTTCCCGTGAACTTTTATACAGATGCCGCATGGTTAGCATACCAAGAGATATAACTTTGGAACACAGACTGCGTTCCTCATGCCCCGATCAATTAGCCGCGCTAACCATGGCGATAGGCTCCCCTGATGCCTCCACGAGAGCAGTCTTGGAGCAACATGTTTTGGGTAATTGGTAACCTCACTAGTTCTAGTCGTAACTCCTTACTTCAAAACAAATCAAATATAGAAATTTTAGTAGTGAACCGCTAGCCACATGTGCGATGAAGCATTTTCGGCACGCAGTAGAGAGAAAAGCCTTCGTCCTTTTAGCTAAACACAAGCCTCGTACGTAAGATTTACATTTTGAAGTCGATCATTTCTTATCAATAGAATCGAAACTTTAAGGCCGTACCTTACAATTCACGAATAAACATTTGTGATATTCTAAACAAGTCAAACTGCGTTGCTGAAACATTGTCATACACCAGAATCAATGTATTAGAGCATAAAGAGTTAAATTTTTCTACCATGACCGAAACACAGACGGACGATATCTCCTTTTAAAATTAGCTTATTCCTTTTCTTTGTAATGTCACATAAAGTGACAGATTTATAGGAGGACCAGATGTTATAGCCATCACTATTTTCACGGCCGAAACGGTGGATCTACCTTTCGCAGAACGACGTGTAGCTTTGTCCGTTTATTTCTCTGTGGTCACCAATAACAGAGAATAACCATTTTTCCAATTTCTTTTCTTTTCCAACTCATTCACAAGACACAAAAAAAGGCGTTCCACCTAAAACTCATCGTCCAGCAGTCAACGTTTTAGTAGATCGTTTCCGCTTCCAAATGTATTGATATTTTCCCGACAGAAGAAGGTTAAATGGTTCAACGTGGCTCTTTATGTGAAAAATTAAGATCACAATTAGACGATATTATTACATTATTATTATTATATTCCACACATGTCTGAGTCCACACCGTATACTAAACAAATCAAGGTGCGACAATCGTTAGAAAAATGTTCATGATTTGCACTCTGGCACAATATTGCCGGATTGCCCAAGCCAAAGCAGGTGAATTTTTCTTGGGGAATTCAAAAACCGGATCCGTTGACTAGCCCAAGTTTGAACCACAATAGAGGGAGACTGTGTGTGAAAACCGCAATCTACTGAAAGACCAGTATCCATTTCATCAAATCATACACCACTTGGATGGATTCAAACATCCGATACGGTCAATATACATCAATGCCTAATCAAACAGGTGATCACTCCAAAATCATGTGTGTGATTTGAACAGTTAGAGAATGCTTCACCGATACGTGATACCAGCGGTCGTTACCAACGTATCTGCTAAATTAGTCACGATCGAAAAGGACAGTATTCACAATAAAGAACAACTGACCATAGTGTCTTAGTGAGTAGCTCAACTGGCCTGGTGCGAGTGTGGTTATTTCGACTAGTGCAGCGGGAACTTCGTGGGCGGTGGCATGTGGGTGTCCAAAACAACTAGGGTAATGAGGTTGTGTTCATTCGCTGAAAAAGAGAAGACAGCGGAATCTGATGGGCTTCTCTCCAGTTTTTAAGCTGGGGGCGACTCTCTATCGTCAAATCCATTAATAGTTTGCTACACGGTATTTGTCTGGAAGGGAGTAACCCTTTCAAATGGGGTGAATTGTTGATAGTTCTAATCTTCCAGAAATGATCACACAACGACTACACAAATGTGTTAACCGCTGCGATACTTTGCCGCCTGACTCACTTGGAGGAGATGAGTATTCGTTAAAAGCAAGCAAGAAACCAACCGATTCGCAGTTGCATTGAACAAATCTTTACATTGCTTCCAATCTTTGAATTATGCTTTATAGTTTTGCTGGTGTAAAAAGAAATATCGCAGAAGTGTGTGAATCTGTCGATCTCAATTTACTCACAAACGTGTGCTCTACGGCAGGCTGAGAAAATGATTGAAAATAAACAAAGATATTCTTGAAGGGTGCCCTATTTCGTCAGTTATATTGAAGTTCATCGCAGACTACCAAACTACCAAACTAACTTCGCTCCAAAATCTTGGTAGTTAAAGACGAGGTGGATAAGAGCCCCGTGTTTTAGAGTACATTGTTCAAATGCATGCAGGATGCGCAAAGCAATCTTGGTACGCTTTCAAGTTCTGTAACTCCAACTATACCTTCAAAGTTCACAGTGATGCCACGAAAGTGAGTTTCATCTGCCCCGGCTCCGATGCTTGACGGTAGGAAATTAGCTAAAGTGCTTATCCTATTCACGTATTTCCGGGACAAATAACGATACAATAGAAAGTAACCATCCACATTTTCCAGATGCAAACAACGTACGAAGAACTGAAACACTTTTGGTGCCGATGGTACTTTTCCTCGAGACTGAAAGGTCGCGTGCAATTCGCCATTATGCGGTCAGTTCTGCTTTACGTTTGCGAGACCCTTAATTTGCGTGTGGAAGATATTCATCATCTAGAATTCTTTGATTGCTGATGTTTACGTATTTTTGCGTGAGTTGAATAGTGCGAGTAAGCCAACGAGTAGTTGATAATGATTCGGTGGAGAATTAATCATCGAATTTGGATCGGTCGGTTTCGATGGTTAGGATACGCATTGCAACTTTCGTCTACCTTACTGCATCTTATTTCCAGTTACGGCTCCAAATTGGGGTAAATTATGAGAATGTCAACAGCTGACACGGAAACAAGACATAAGGAAGTACACAGAGCCATTAAGTAGAGTAAGTGCCTCCCGTCGTCCAGGGTGCGGTAAATATTTGGTTTGAGACACTGATGTATCAGGCAACTGACAAACAGGAGTAGCGTTCGTTTTTACTTCTTGTCGGGTCGGAATGCACGAAAAGCTATGTATGCACAGTTAGCTTGGGTACCCTCTGTGTTAACTACAGAGGTTTACTTTGTTTTCTTCTCCAAAGAAAACCAAATTCCTGTTTATCTCGTGCATTCTTACAACCTACATTGTGAGCTCAGCAGCAATCAGTGAACTCCCCTTTCCTTTATTCTGCTGTATAATTATAATGATGCTGTTGTGGTTCTTAGGCATTATCTTAATTATTTTGGAATCATGCGTTTTAACGAACTCCCCTAAGTACACCAACAGTATTTAGCCGAACCAGTTATAGCCCCGGGTGTTGGATTTGGTTTCTCAATTTGGTGAGAAACCACCTCCACCACGGGAAACTAGTGAAATACGTTTATATACTCCAAGAGTTTCATGGGTTGAAGATACCTAAGGTATGTGGAATAGTAGAATGAATACGTTGCCTGCTCTCTATAATATTCCCATACCGATTACATTGGGGGAGTTCGATTTGAATTACCTTTGGGGTATAAAATGAGTGTTATGGAATTTCATATGGACCCAACTGGAATGATTGCATTGCATTGAAATATAGCAGAACGAGAATTCAAAGAATAAACTTTGCTTTATTAGTGCTTGACATGGGGGTGCGACCCATGGTTGGGGGCCCAACCAGAGCTACCTGGTAGACCTCTGATAATGATTGATTTCCGTCAAAGGTTGCATTAGATTTCAAGTAAATTTCAATAGCCAGCGGTACTTTCTGATATTTTTATGTACACGTACATGCACACCGATACCCATGCCGCATGACAGTCCCACGGAAGTCCCTTGAGAACCATTGAGTGACCATTCTACATTTCCGTCAGCGTCCCTAATCTGTAAGGGAACCGTCAAAGAATTTTTGACATATGCTTTTGGATTGAAGTTTAAGTCCTGACTCAAAGAAATCCACTTCCTCAGAAAACTATTACGGATAACAGATAAACGCCTATTCGCACTTATATATATATTCCATTTCGCCTGTTTGCCGAGCTTGTTTGCAAACGTTTCATTACCAACCGAGGTGACATCATCAGTGCTTGTGATGAAATGGAATTCAGTTCACCCGAGCTACGAGAACCAATTTTCAACATTTTTTCAATATATATACATTTTTCAACTCACGCCTCCATTCTCTTTTAATATATATATATATGTATATATATATATACAGTGATAAAAACAACAATGGGTGTAATGCGAACTATAGAAACAGAAAGTGGGACTGCAAAAAGCAGTCAACTTTGGGAATAATAAAATTTCTTCCTCCTTTACTGCACACCATTTTGACTTTTATTTCATTTTGTGGACCGCACACGGAAAAAGATGCATTCACGACACAGACGCAGTGTCTCCAGCCAAAGACAATCTGAACCTTTTGGGCCCAGGGGGGAGCTGGAAAGCCTCGACGGAACCCANTAGGCCACATCATAGCCTGAACACCTTGCTGTTTTCTTCAACCCGCGGATTCGCGAATCGCTGTTTGTACACAGTGCACGGTATGACAGTTGTTAAAGTTTGAGCATTTACTCAAGCATTTATAGGACGTGCCACAGCCACCTAGGACGACGTCGTCACTGCAGACGCAGTGACATTGTTTTTGCTTCATGGAGGACTATATGATCCTAACACATGTCGTCTGATCTCGTCTTTATTCACGCGTGCACGCGATACTCCCACCATACGCGAGCGATGTAGCGCATACATCCATGCAGCATGAGCGCTACCCGGTCGTCCCCTGAGTGGCCCTCTCGACCGATGCATGCCGCCACTACGTCCTGTGAACCCATCTGACCTGACCGTTAACGATTGTAATTGCAACGGTTAACCGTTGAAGTAAAAAATGTTAACGACTTTGCTTGGTACCCCATCCAAATGTGTACTTGAATGGCTTGCACCTTGGTGACTCAGCGATGACTCTTGAGTGCACAAGTGTGCTGAATGCTCATGGGTTCTCTGCTCTGTATATTCGTGCATGGCCTATGCAACAAGCACACAGCTGTATAACTGGTATTTCAGCCCGGCAGATGTAGCTGCTCAACGTCAGGAATGTAATGCCGTAACGCGCAAACGTCTTGTACAAGCAGCTACGCAAACAGCAGAATCTGGCGAATACGTAAACGACGAGGATAAGCTAATTGCTCTCGATCTGGATGAAAAATTTAACATTGTAAAGCGATACATCTACCTCATGAGAGCGTTGAGTGAGAAGTTGACCAACCCGAAATTGTCGGATGAAGCTTTTGGATCCGCAGTCACCTATCTCAGACAATTTCATTTGCATCATTCAGTGATGGGTTTCTATTCCCGTGAGATGATGCTTACCTGTTTTTATATGGCCTGTAAAGCAACCGATTTCCCGATCGGGATCCAAACATTCAGTTATCATATTCCCCGCAATCAAGATCACTACAGTTATTTTATTCTCAATTCGGAGTTGTTTCTGCTTGAAGCCCTCAGTTACAATTTATGGGTATTCACACCCTTCCGGCCATTGCCCGGACCAATCATGGATTTGATTGCTTAAACGACTTCATCAGAACCGGAACGGTACTGACGTCAGTTTAAATGAAATAGAGCTTGTTAACGAATTGCGTAAAGAGGGGACCGAACTTATGGTATCAGACTGATCTGTAACCCACCGTACACCCGAGTCAGTTCACTTTGGCTGTCCTAGTCGAGTTGGGCCGCACACGGCCGCACCTCAATGTGGAAGTGTTTGTACGCGATGAACTGTGTGGTTGTGATCCGATGCAGAAACGGAAGAAGGCTTCTGTGACTAGTTCTAATGGACAAGACACAGAAGACGAAGATGATTTTGAGGATGACGATGCATTGGGTTTGGGGTCGCGATGCCCAGGAATTAAGGCTGACAAGGCGCAGAAACGAAGCGCATCGCCGCCAACACAAAAATCCGAGCAGGTACCAACAGACGAGCGCTGGAAACAATTATCCGAGAGTGTGGATCATATTCGATCTGTGCTGAATGAATTTGACTTTGTGTACAATTTACAACCGATAAACGACGAACAAGCTAAGCTGAAAAAGCGTCGCAATCCGTTGTACAACTTGGATTCTGATGAGTATAAGGAAGCGAAAGTGTTCTCTGGCAGCAAGTAAAATACCGGACGCAATAATGGGTGGGCGTAAAATATTTTTCCACTCCTACTGACGATTTTATTGATTTATTTTGGTTTATATCCGTATAAACTCATCTGTGTAACAAAATATATTCATAACTTACTTACCATCATTCTGCGTTCTTATTTTGCAGATGCTATTTACAGACATTAGTTCTTGGAATACAACCACCAAGAAGGAACTCTGATGCTGAAGAAATTTATTCACAAGCACCGATGATGTCAAAGTGTGCCATAATTATCTTGCTTATTTTTTTACAAAATATTCTCCTGAATCCACCATGGCTATTTTCTTTGCGATTTATACGGGAAAACGATCTATAGATCCTTTATTCTTGTCTCGGCGGACAAAGGAGATAAGCTGACTGTTCGATTATTCGAATTTCTTTGAAGTGTGCATTCCGTCTACAGGTTTATTTATTTTTCGTTGCGATCGGTCAAGTATTATCGAAAACGTTTTGAAGGCGGATGTCAATACCAAATGCCTTGATATGAAACACAAAGGAAGCTTCGTGCTCTATCTTATTCTACATACATTTGTAAAGTGAATGTATGATCCTCTCATTCAAGATACTTAATTGATTTTACCATTTAGATATCACAGCTGACGAGAACGTAAATAAATAAATAAATCAAATATGTTTATTTTTGTAAAATTGTGGCGAGTTACTTTTACTTTTCAATGATTTGAATACATTCTTCTGCCTTTTATATGACGGTTTTTATTGGTATGAGATAAACCTTGAGTAGTTCAACGATTATTCAATAGCAGCAAACCGGTAGGTTCAAATATAGGCGTAGCAGTTAAGTGGGAGATATGGGACGTGTTGATCATAAATGAACGAGGTAGGTATATTAGGAGTATAGCGGGGAGTGTAAAAAAGGGAGGAGAAATTATAAGATAAAAGAGGTTCGTTTCGTGGGGGACGGAAAAAACGCTCAAAGTGCCTGTTGCAAATTCGCGAAATTTTGCGCGAAAACTTTAGCGAAGCAGAACGCAAAATATTGCGCGTTATATTCGCGGTTTTGCTGTCTTAGCTAAGACAGCGAATTAGTTAATAATCCGAGTATTGCTGAGTTGGAACAAACTACCTAAACCTATAAGAAGTATGGACAAAAAGGTTTTGGATAATTGCTTGTATTCGGTTTCCCTTCAAGCATTCGGAAGGTGGGGGAATGATAACATATGACACATATTGAGTTTCACCATAAGTCTAATCACTTGCAGCACTACGAGCAAAGTGTTGAGAACCACAGAATAAAGTGACATATCAAATTACTCGGCGGCTCTCTTTTATTCAGAGCGTGATATCACGATCTGGATACAAGAGTGCGCCTAGACGAAAATCGTCACGCACCAGTTGAGATAAGAACAAACTGAGTAGATCTAGATGTTATGAGTTTATCAGGTGGCGCAGATATTAAATTCGGCATTAAAATCAATTGATGGATCAATTAATTGATGCGCGTTTTTATATAAAAGCATGCGCGTATATATACACATGGATATATATTCATGTGTTTCGGCATGAAATGAATAACACCGAAGTAACCAAAGAAATGAAAAGTCAAATAAAAATTTACCTGCTCGCGTTTTTCTTCAGCTTTACGTAGCTTTTCCTCAATCATTTCTGCGGTGAGTAGAGGTGGATTCTGAATGGGTGCTAATCGCTAATTTAGTATATTATAGAAACCTCGTCGGGAAACCAACCGCTGGAATTCTCGTTTCATTTTTTGAGTGTTTATTATGATCTCCTCTATGATCGCCAACCGTCTCACACGTGTCCAAATCGATATCAAACATAACAGACGTTTTCCCATTACGCTCACTGTCTTTTTCCTTAGATGAGTCATACAAAGCTTCTTTTTTTATTTCTTGGCTCTCTATAACTGTTTGTTCTTTAGAAACGGTGCAACCCATGGTTTATGTTTATGCACCGCAATTCAATAACCTTGGCCCTGAAACATACAACTTAATTCACCGCAGAAGCGCTAGCAGTAGCAACTCGGTAGTTTTAAACAAAAAAATCAGTGCACATATCTTGAAGTCTTGAAGTGACTCTGGGGTTCCAGGCAGGCACATATGGTCCCGGATCCTTGATAGTTTCTTGCTGTCTGGTTTTAGAGGACGCAACTGGAAATTCAGAAAAATAGATATCTTCTGATATGTTTCAGAAAACTAAGGTCTCTCACCGACGAGGCGAGAAGACATCTCTTCTGTTTTCTCCTTTCCAGTCCGCTTGAGAGAACCTGGCTAAAAGAAACTCAGAAAACGCAGTGTTGGGAGCCAAGAACACCCGCCGACAACACCATAATCTGGACGCTCGATTGGCAAGGGCCATTATTCGTCCTGTGAAGACTGGACTGGACTGGACTGCATCTTACCCAGGGACTAGCGAGGCTAGTTATTTTGGCAACATTATTATTAAACGTAACAAAGTGCTATAACAAATGGGCAAATATGTAAATACATAAAAAGGGCTTCAGTGGAAAAATAATTTAAAAAAGTTCTGTTCTTTGTGTTATTGATTTTATGATGGAGGGCTCAAGAGGAGGTAATTAGACCTAGATACTTATCAAGTCGAATCTTGAATGACGTTTTGCTTGTTGAAGAGACTATCACTTCTGTCAATTCGTTCCAGTGTGAAATTACCCTGAACGTGATGAAAGATGTGCGAAGGGTGGTGCGGGTTGAGGTCTGTATAACTTTTTACTATTACCCCGTGTTCCACCCGTT